TTCTTCCCTGTTTATATGTTACTGTGCTGTTTCAAATTTCATAAAGGCATTAGAATGCAAATGAGTTGAATGCTTGTGAATTGTGGAATATGGAAGATTGATGACTCATAAAAGTCTAAGTTGTGTGTTGAATTACCAAATACTGTTGAGCCCATTGGGTACACTAGGTATTTTTCTACCATTCCATGACCATGGTCCCTGTCAGTTATCATACCCCATGAGCAGGGGCGGTCTGGCATCATAATTGCAGGGTGTCTAGCAAACCAAAATGGCCCGTTTCAGGAATGCAGCAGATAAGATTATTTTAACTACACCCACTAATAAAGGAATCACATTAAATAGGTAAATTAATACATGAATAGATACATAAATAAATGCATCAAGTTTATGTAAATTGACTTCTCCAGCTTTCTTTACCTTACATATCAGAGGGCCCGGGTGGCGGTCGCTACTTTGCCACCTGGGCCAGACTGTGCCTGCCCATGAGGTTGTACTTTCTGAATGTGGCATGAATTATACCTAATTTAATACACCATAATATACCTAGAGATAAACCTACCATGAAGAGTATGTTCAGTATGAATATAAGCTTTTCTTTATAAGTGAGTTACTCAGCAATGAATAGTAGTATTATCTCAGTCTGTGATATAAAGGAAGTAGATAAAGTAGTTTTCTTTAGGTAAAGCTAAAATTCTCACGGGTCCAGAGAATGAAAAGCAGATGTGCAATTTGCAATAATTAGCCCACTGATAACCCTTAATAATTAATTGGATTCAGAGCCATTTCCACCTGAAAAATAATTGTTGATTTCCTGACCTGACAACAGACTTACAGAAAATTGTGATTTATTTTGGGAGGCAGAACATTTACTATTATTGCTCTGAGTTGTAGACTACCTAGAGAGAGGATATGGAGTCTATGAAAGGAAAGCAGTCTATTACCATGTGGATAAAGCAAGTCAAATGACAAATATAGATATTGGAAACTGGCATAAAGCTAAAAATACTTATGCAGAAAAAGAGAAAATAACATTGCAAAGGTGAGGCATGGAGTCTTAGTTACTGCACATGAGTGTTGTGTGCACCTGGCAAACAAGCCACACACCTGTCAGAGTAGCAGCTCAGGTAAGCCTAACGCTCGTATTTTGGGCCACACAATGGCGGTGAAGCATCGGGATCCAATTGTTTAGATTCTTTTTTTTTTCTTTTTTTTTCTAAAATTATCTTTTCTGAGAATATAGTCTAAGAATGAAACTCTATTAATGTTTGGTATGCTATGGATATTCCTTTATGTATTTATGTTTTATTTCAGATGAATAGGTTAACCCACTTGTGCTGGGAAAAGTTTGTGTTCACTATAGTATTGTTTTGTGAAATATCTCTGCACATAGATAGGTCCACAAGTATTTAGCTACAAAGAAGTCAGTTAGTAGACCTTGTTACCTCACTTGATTTTACCTTTTTCTTTGAGTTTGCGGATAAAACATTTTTTTCACTAATGCTATCAGTGTCGATGCTGTTGTAATTCTTATAGACATTATAATTATTATTACTAACAGCAATATAAGATACTAAAAAATACATCCTGAAATCAAGGAAAAGGGTACAGGGGAGAAAGGTAGTACTCGTAATTGGCTCACTGGTGACTTGGTATTTGTGGAGCCATTTATGTGTAAAGGCAATTAATAAACTAAACTCACTGTGGGCATGGCTTATAAGTACATGCCATCCCCAGCAGTATCAGGTTAAGAAACCTAAAAAAAATTAGTGACTGTACTAATATTATTCTTCACATTTCAGCGGCTGCTCATCTGCAATCCTGCAGTTCGAATGAGTGCTGAAGATGCGATGGCTCACTCGTACTTTGCTGATCTCTCCACTTCCATTCGCAATGGTTAGAAGCCATAGAGACAAAGAAACTCCACTGGATAAGTGAACATGGGTGGATATAAGTTTATTACATTATGGAAAGATTATTGTAAAAGAGAACTTTATCTTTATATGAGTAGTTTATAGGAAGACAATAGATTTGTAGATTTTGCAGTTTCAGGGTTGGAAGAAAATTGCCAAAAGACTTTTCTTAATTATGTTTTTATATTGAATGTAATTGAAGATTTTGTTTTGCCTTATTCTTCTTCTTGTTCTGTGTCTTATCCTTTTTCATCCCTTTCTTATTTTATTTTCTTATCGGAGGTTTGAGTTATGAGGTAATGAGAAAATGTATCCCCCCCTCCTGTATCAGGAACTGTGTGCGTCTGTGTGTATGATGTTTGGGGCATCTAGTGTGTCTTCTTAATGTCATTCTCATTTTAAACACAACAGAAAATATAACATAAGGGGACAGTCTATCCAACTTGTGGAAAGTATTTTTAGTTTTGGTAATATTGAGACGTATGCATTTTTATAACTTTCAGCCTAATCTACCTGCACTAAGCTTGTTCAGCCTCCCTTGAATTTCTAAAGAGTGTTTGACCCCTTTGTCTTTACCCCTTAAAATCAAG